ATGTACTAAGAGGAAGGCCTGTAAAAAGCTTAATATGACATGCTATACTCTTCCTAAAATCTCACCATAAGGACAACTTACATGTACCTCATCGGTTTGTCAATATAGCCACCTAAATAAAAGTTCACTTGTAAATTGCATTGTAATTGCATCTAAGTTATATCTAATCACAACACATGTTGCATATTAATACTCCAAAATCGAGCAAAACCTACCCTCAGCTGACACATTCCCAGCAAGGACCTATTTTTCCTGACAGAATTTAACCAGAGGTTTGAAGTGAGCCAACATACTGTGACAGGCCATGAACACAGGGGCGAGATGTCTCAGCTTTGTAGCTGATTTCAGCTCTTTCCGTTTTGGATTTCAGCTTTTTTTCCTCACTGGCTGTGTACAAAAGTATAGGAGATTTTCACAGTTTAGCTTCTTGATGCCTTTTTTTCCAGCTGTTTTCAGCTATTTTTATCATTGGTCAATCTCACCGCTGTGGAACACAGGGCTCCTGAACGTTCCACTACTGGACCGTTCAAATAGAACAGTGTGTCCCCCACAGAATAGTGTTCAACTGTGAGAACATGCCATTTCAGTGAGAATGTTCCCAGTGTTCAGACGTTTGACGCATTCCCTTACATACAGTTACTTTAGCACAACAAATAATGAATGCTTCACATTTGTTCGTTCCAGTTGGCATTGCCTTATGGAATACAGTAGTCTGTAACCTCATGAATTATTCTCACCATTCCCTTATTAGTTGTATAATGTTACCATAATTTCATGTTTTTTGTCATAGTTGTATTTGGGGGGAGGGGGAGTACAAGTATTCATAGTTCTGTTTCCCACAGATGGAGAGCTTGATATGATCGTTGGAGAGTACAGGTTTTTCTTTTTACAAGAACTGTGTGATACTGTTGAAATAATAGTTTGACCATTCCAAGCCTCATGTTTGTTTATTTGAAATAATTTACTGGTATCAAGGATGATCATATCAATTTATATTTTCAATAGCTTTGCCTATTGCAGTGTCAGGCACGGAGCTTGACCTGAAATGTCATAACATTACCAAGTCCGAGTACAATTTGATTTGTGGTTGTTTGAGTTTAAAAAGTTTTTGTTTATCATGGTGTTTTCACAAATTAATCATTGGCATACCAATATTTCTTTGTCAAACTTTTCCCCAAAGTTGTGATGTGATTTGAATCATAGTGAGTGTAAAATCTAGATTAATTCTAAGACACCGTTCTCTGTGGTCCATTTAGCAGGGATTAGCTCTTCGACTATTTCATGCATGCTTCAGAAATTAAATGTGCACTTCCATGATGTCTAAACAGGTTTTGGAACAAGTTTTCAGCAAAAAATTTCCTGCCACCCCCAAGTCTTTTTTTTTTCAATTCATACGTGTAGACATTTGAAATGATTTTTTAGGAAATGTGATCAAATTTCTTGATGTCAACTTAGTGAAATGAGACAATGATCCGGTGTCAAGTTCTGTATAAGTTCTCATTTTTGATTACATTTTAATTTTCTGCCCTTACAGCAAGCTCAGCGAAGGCTGGCCACAACCTCTAGTCTAAAGTCGCTGACCCGCTTTGATGACATCACTGCCCTGGATCAGACACGTGAAGATATGCCTGCTAAGAAGAAGTAAGAAGATGCCAACTTGTTTTGTGTCCACCCACATTGTTTGTCTCAAGTATGATGTCATGACTAGCAGTAGCATGTACATTATTCAGTTACTTCTTGGCACTGAAGTCAGGCCTGGAGACGTTTTGTCATCTGACTGCTAAATTTAAAGTCATTGGGGAAAGGCTGTGGTAGAGCTCAGATTGAAGGATTAGATTCATTTTCAGACTCGCCGTAATGCTAGCATGATACGTCATAAAATGTTTTGATGACATTTTATGTGAAGTGTTAATACTTCGTAGATTAACATATTTATTGTCGTTTCTCTCTATTCTAGGAGGAAGTTGCCAAGCAAGGTAAGCTAAGTACTTTATCCCTCTAGTATTTTGTATTAGAGCTATTTATTAATGGAAATGGTGGCAGTTTTTTGGGACTTGCCACATAAATAAACTATGTAATGACATCACAGCATTTTGACAGTACATATGGGCATCATGGTACTGCCCAATAGGCTCATCATGTCCACTGTTGGGATATGAGCTCTTCAGCTTGTACAATACTTTACCATGTGCCTATGTGTGCATCGGCAGGACTCGGACCAAAACACAGAATCTTATTCAAACTCGGACTGAATGCTCAAAAATCATTTTAGACATTTGGCAGGCAGTGTCGTTTAATTAGGAATTAAGTTTCATAATTATTGCACAATTTTTTTCAAAGGCAGGCTGAGCCTTTTTAAATGAAAAAAATGGAGCAATTGACATGGGACCTGTTAAATTCAATTGCTGTAGCAAGAGAACATTGATTGATGATATTCTTTCTACCAACAGGATGTTGTTGGAATATGCCATTTGCAGGTGACATTTGAATAAAATCTGGTACACTTAGTTCTTAAAATTCACATGAACATAAAAATTTGATTGTCCATACTGGAGACACTTGCTATACCACGTGATTCGGGGCAAGCTTTTGCTTTGTTACATAAGAGATGCCTTGCACCAATACACTGTTTTGAATGGATAAGAAGGGCACAAAGGAACCAGTCCATTCCAGCAATGGTTGTCACTGTGCAAAAGCTTGCCCAGAATCACGAGGCATATGTCAACAGTGTCTTTAATGTGGGGAATTCAATTGTTATGTCTATGTGCAATAAGTGTACCAGATTTTATTCAATTTAATTCGCCAAAGGCTTATCAGCAGGGTTCCCTTTTCAGTGAGGCATGTATTTTTGAGATACGAACCTTTTTAGGAATTACCTGTGGTATTATTTTTTAGCCCCAAACCAGAATTTGAAAACCAAATGTTTCAAATCCATTCAAAGGCAACAAATAGTGACTTTTGACAGTCATTTGT